CTTTAGGGGTGTTTTGACTTTTATATTGTTTATTTATTTATCTTTAATTGTAACATGTCATTTTGCCAAATAATGATGACCCTCAGCTGCATGTTTAAAACTAATATTAATAATTTTACCCAATGAACAGGTGCAATATTGATAACCACCAACAGTGAATTTAGAGGGGTGTTTCACTTTTTCTGATTTAGTGATAAGTCTACTCATAATAAACACAGAGCATCATGCAGTCTTCAGAGCATAAAATGACAAAAAAAAACATTTGTCACCATAAGTCCAAAAGTTTACAACATAAGTCAGATTACATAGGCAAATATTCTGTATATAAAGAAAATCATCACTTCCTTGTCAGTCTTCTTCAGTGATAGAGCTTGGTGATGTTTCAAACTGTTAAACACTGCCACCAACTGTTCAGGAGGATTATTACACCCCTAAAGGTTGTTTCACTGTGTAAGGGGTGTGTACAGGAGGGTGACCAATGGGGTTGCCAAAGATTTGTCTGTGGTGGCCATGGCCACCCCCCGGCTCTGCCCCTGAGTCTGGCTACTCTTACTTCAGTAAAGTTTCTGGATACTCTACCCACTGTGAGTAGCTTCACTGAATGACGAACAAGCTTGTTTTCACCAAAAAAAAAATCACCAGACACAAACACACACCTGCAGTTTTTGTTAGTTCCAGAAATTTGATACTGAAAGAAACTGATTTGGAAAGAAATTATTATTTTGCCTGATTTTGTTATTTTGTAATTATGTTATTTCTATGAATTAATTTCATCTTGATCTTTAAAAATACCAAAACTTCCACATCGTCTGATGATGTAATTTTTAAATATGAAATGATTGATGTGACGAGTGCTAAGCAACAAAATCCTTTACTTTTTAATCTTCCTCTCTTAAATTTGAAGGTTGCACTCATTGATGATTAAATCTAATTTCATTTGAATTATTGAAACCACTGACAGAAAAAAAAMCAACCAGCTGTCTGCAGCATGATTCTGACCTGTAGGGTGTGAGGATGTTGAGGGGCGGTGGCTGCTCGCAGGTCTGGAGGCTCTCCTGGAGCGGGACTGGCAGGGAGGTGCGGTCAAACAGCTGCTGGTCCTGAATGGTAGAACTCCTGAAGGCCTTCCTCATGGTGATGTCCTGAAGGGACACTGCGATGGAGGACACAGATGAGAGGAAATGAGGACATGCGGTTATTAAATTAGCTGGTTCCATCTCATCACCATAATCATCAAAATGGACACTGACATCATCAGTCAAAGAGTCGCAATCAACGTTGGAGCACAAAGCGTTTCATAAACCACTGATCATCCTCCCGCCTCTGGGATAGCATCCGATTGTCACGGTCTGTTTCTGTTCGTCTAAAGAACAAATGCAGCTAATAATTGCACATCCCTTTTTTTCCCCCAATTAAAAATAACTGACACTGAATGGGAAAAAACAAAACAAAACAGTGAGGTTTCATAAAACCAGGTTTGAGAAACTGTTCAGGAGAAGAGGGGGAAAAAAATAAAATAACCCTATTGACGCGAGCAAAAAGTCTTGGGGAAAAATCCAGACAGTTGCAACCAGATGTGAATTATACATGAGGGAGTCACAAATAGATACACGCTACTGCTGCCCACAGGAAAAATGGAAAATGTGTGCAAGCTTGAGTATCCTTCTGTTAAAATATTCTATATGGCACCTACTAAAGGACGACATAAACCTGAAAAACATAGTGAAAAAGACATAACCCGTGACGAACAGAATGAGCCCCACGGCTTTAATAAAATGAGATAAACAAAGTCAATCCATTCATGTAGATTACAGCTGGATAATGACTTCTGCAGACTCTGGAAAGTAAACGACCAACCACCCGAGGCTCCGAAGAATCCTCACCAACACTYTCAGAGAGCCAAGTTGAGAAAGATTAGGAAAAGCCAGAGAACGCAACAAGACGACCAGTAAACTGAACCAAGACAACAAAAAGAACAGGGTCGTGGAAATGGAACAGAGCGAGACAAAAAAAAAAAAAAAAAAAAAAAAAAAAGGGACAGCGCTCATAAAATAAATCACAAAGATTTAGCAGAGAAAGTGAGAGGAAGAGCGTTCTGGTGGATCAGAGAGAAAATACCTAACATCAAAATGTACAACAAAACACAAACGAGTTGAAGCTTTAAGAAAGATTTAAAAGATTTCAAACAGAAAAACAAAAAAATGCTTTTAGATCCTATAAGTACAGTAACCTGAGT